AAACACCCAAGAAGCAAAACTGAGTTCAAAGCTGTGTGAAAAAGAAATGTAAATTTTTTGACAAAATGAAACCATCAGAATTTCCCACTGCTTTCAAAGCTTCAATGGAAACAAAAATTAAATTTTTTTTTTTCTTCACCTGTCATCATCAGAACTGTCACGAGCAAAATGCTTCAACACGGAGCACGAACCATCATCGTCCTGACTGTGGCTATAGATGGTAGAAGTGGAAGCTTTCTCAAAATTTCTTCTAGTTCTTGCAGATCTTTCTGCTGCATTCTGAACTTTCTGATTCTCATCTTCGTCTAATGTAAGCAGATTATCAGTTGCATCATCGTAAGATTTCAAATCCTGTGACTTTGAGAGTCCTGTAGTGGATCCTGAAGCCTTTTTCCAATAGTCTGATGAGCTCTTTTTGGGCTGATGTGATTCTTCTGCTTCGGGCTCATGATCATTCCAAAATCGTGAAGACTTGGAAGATCTCTCCTGACTGAAGCTTCTTGCCGCAAACTGATTATCTCTTCGAAGTCTTGGATCTACTGACTTGGAGGAGTCATCTTCCTGCTTGTGACTTGCCAAGCAAGGAATGTAAAACAATAATTTGAATCAAGATAGGAAGTAAACAAGTGAGAAGAACAAATGAGAGGTGTTTTACAAGGCAACAGCAGCCAAGACAATACAACAGAGATATACAAGATATATATAAGAAACCAGAGATGGAAAACATCACTGAAACAATTAAGAGTTGTCTGAATAAACATAAAGAAACCCAAAAGGTGTCCAAGATGATTATGAAGTACAGTAAATATCATAGTCGCTGTCAAGGTTTTAGCTTCTCTGCAATCAGATCCCCCCATACTTGATCCATTCAAGTGCCAATGAAAATCAAATCAAATGTCCCTCACAGTCCCATTTCAACAACTGGTGAACAAACAATAAGCCCCGATTCAACAAAGAAATATGGGCAGGTAGTAAATGCATAAGGCACACAACCTTCAGAACTGCAGCCAAAGCATCAAAACTGAATATTAAATATATTAAAATCAGAAAACAGAAAAGTTATCCCAAAGCAGAAACAGTCTGCCACTGGGGAGTGTTCATCGTTCCCATTCTCAGGGCTACAGCAAGATGAAGCAGGGTGGTCAGTTCTCTATCCTTACTGCCTTTTCTTTCCCAGACATTTCCCTGAAAATTCTATTATTGTGAGACCGTGTGTGTACCCCAGAGACAAAATAAAAGGAAAAAAATAAACCTATACTAGAACTTCACTAAGTAGACACTCTAGCCACTAGGCTATCATGATGAGAAAATATAAAAAAACTGATTAAACAAAAAAAAATGTATTCTAAAATGAAAAAAAGTAGTATTCTCTTTTTTCACCACTCTTCACATTCACCAGCTGTAAACTCAGAAGGTGTTTGTTCACTTCTTGTCCCTAGTCTTGTTCTAGAACTCGATTTTTGCACGCACATCCATTTTACAGAACTGGCTTCTCTCAGGCAGATACACTAGGACTTCGAAAGAAGTCCCTAATTAGTAAACTCTTAGGACATGCTTGTAAGGGAGGCAGTGGGTCTATCCCCCAAAACCCTTCATTTCCACAATGGGGCACCTCATGGAAAGCAGTACGAATATACTATTAGTAAATCCACGTACACCTGATACAGCAGCAGTACGAATATACTATCAGTAAATCCATGTACACCTGATACAGCAGCAGTATGAGTATCCTATCAGTAAATCCATGTACACCTGATACATCAGCAGTATGAGTATCCTATTAGTAAATCCATGTACACCTGATACAGCAGCAGTATGAGTATCCTATCAGTAAATCCATGTACACCTGATACATCAGCAGTATGAGTATGCTATCAGTAAATCCATGTACACCTGATACAGCAGCAGTATGAGTATCCTATTAGTAAATCCATGTACACCTGATACAGCAGCAGTATGAGTATCCTATCAGTAAATCCATGTACACCTGATACATCAGCAGTATGAGTATCCTATTAGTAAATCCATGTACACCTGATACATCAGCAGTATGAGTATCCTATCAGTAAATCCATGTACACCTGATACAGCAGCAGTATGAGTATGCTATCAGTAAATCCATGTACACCTGATACAGCAGCAGTATGAGTATGCTATCAGTAAATCCATGTACACCTGATACAGCAGCAGTATGAGTATCCTATCAGTAAATCCATGTACACCTGATACAGCAGCAGTATGAGTATCCTATCAGTAAATCCATGTACACCTGATACATCAGCAGTATGAGTATGCTATCAGTAAATCCATGTACACCCCAAGCAGCAGCAGTATGAGTATCCTATTAGTAAATCCATGTACACCTGATACATCAGCAGTATGAGTATGCTATCAGTAAATCCATGTACACCCCAAGCAGCAGCAGTATGAGTATCCTATTAGTAAATCCATGTACACCTGATACAGCAGCAGTATGAGTATCCAATCAGTAAATCCACGTACACCCGATACATCAGCAGTATGAGTATGCTATCAGTAAATCACAAATACATCATCACTATCTTAAGTGAATGGTGCAGGGAGGAGTGCCAAGGGGATCTGGCTGACGCTCAACACACAGGAAAGAAGGATGAGATGGACATACAATCAGATGTCACTGGTACCATTATAACCGAAACTCTGCGCTTGCTGCTGAAAATGGGAACAAGCACTAACGGGAATGCCCCGAGTGCTATGAGTGGTTGCCACGCATAACTCACATATTCCATGTCTATAGTATACAGAAAATAAGATTATAGGCCATTTTTTTTTAAATTGAGAAGGTTTAAACCTACCTTCACCTAGCTGACAGGAATGCGTGATAGCCACTGTGACATTGCGGTCATAAAGTCACTTAAAAGTTAATTTTTGATGTCAGCCATTATTTCGTGGAAAATGATTCCCCCCCCCCCCCCCCCCCCCCCCCCCCCCCCCCCCCCCCCGACAAGAAGTAATGACTAAAAACAAACTAAGAAAATAAAAAGACTGATTTTTCTCCTACTACAAAAACAGGGGTTTTGTTGACACAACCACAAGGAACAAACAGATATCATTATGAAGTTATTATGACATCACTGTTTCGTCATAAAGACCCACCCCCCAAAAAAAAATCTTTTTTTCACCCTAAATATATAAGTTGTGACAATTTTGTTGTTGTAAATATAATCACACCCACTAGCATCTACACACCAGGCAGTTGCAACCATTACCAAAGCTGTTTAACAGGTGTAGTGGACACAGCCCAAAGACATAACTCATCATAATAAACCAGTAAAAGTCAGAAAACGGACTCTTTCAGTATGACATTCTTAGCGGCCACACATGTCTTTTCATTTCAAAGGCCAGACAACAACGTGGCTGCTATCGGGAATCCGTTAGCTAAGTAATTTTGTATATTCATGTCTGCATATGTGGTTCTGTTTGGATTTATGTAATGTGCTGATGAAGGCTCTAAAGCCGCAACATTCACATTCTGTTTGTTTTTGTTACACTGTGAAGCTCGCTGGTCTACTTTTGTTTGGTTTTATACCATCTCAGGGTGACAGAATGATTACATTAAAAAAATTATTGTGGCACATCAGATACAGTTTATATGATCTGTGGTTGTGTAAGAGTTAAACTGCTTGCCTGTTGGCCCATGGTCATGTATCGAGTCCTCTCTGGATATTTTCTCTCCATCACGCTGATGTAGTGGGAAACAAACAGGAAGACAGACTGGCTGGTTCTGCACCACTTGGTGGTGACATGATGCATGATAAGCTAGATCAGGGCTAAACAAACTATGGCCCCAAGGCCAAAACTGGCCCACTGAACAATTTTTACTGGCCCATGAGACTGGTTGTGAAATTACTTTACAATCTGGCCATTGAGCTTAGAAAATAGCAGAACACAAATCTGTTCATATGCAGAAATAAAACCCAAATATTAACATTTTGAAAAAAGTGATAAGCATGTTGTAAGGGTTCTTGGGGAGCGAATAAATAGTGTGGAGGCACAAACAGATCATTGTGGAGGCACAAACAGATCATCAAGGTCTGAGAAGAATGGTGCTGCAAGGAGTGACCAGGGGATCTGGCAGACGCTCAACACTCAAGAGCTAGACAAAATGGCTATACAATCAGAACGTTACTGGTGCCATCAGAACTGGAACTCTGCACTCGCTGCTGAAGATGGGGCGCTTGTGGGAATATCTTGAGTGCTGTGATGTCGATTCTTAATTCAACATTCAATTATCTTCAAGGCAGGGTTCCTTTAACAAACTGGTCAACCAAACCTAAGTAGGACAACATTTCTGGGAAGTAAAGGTGGCTAGCATGATACTGTCAACATCATCCAAAGAATGAGATAAGTCCAACAACACAAAACTAGTACCATATACCAATATTGTCTCATAGTGCGTAAAGGGATCTTTTACTTTCAACATACACAGGATATTTAAATAACAAAAACAACAATAGTGAGATTCTGCGGAAAACATAAGTGGTCCAGAACCGCCATAAACTGCTAAGCAACACATGCGTTAATCAACATCCCTTTTATATGTTAAAAATGTAAAGTTGAGGGGAATTACTTTGTTGCGCTGGGTTTATCCCATATGGCTTAATCTCTCAGCAGAAAGGCCAACTACTTGCAATATTTGTCACATGAAACCTGTAGCTCCAGAAAGGATCCTTAGACTCTCCATAAAAAATTGCACCTATGAACCAAATGATACAGCTGTGAAACAGATACACAACCTCCAGAGCACGTGGCAAACAGCTAGACCACTTCCCCATGGAGACCCCACAAAACATCCTTTTTATGACACACAAAGAAGAAAACGGCTACCAATGGTAGAATAACTAGTTGTCTAAACTGACTTATTCAGAAAAAGAAAAAAGCTGACTATCCATAGCATTTGTTAAAAACGAGTCAAGCCATAAACAAATATGAATGAAACTGTCCTGCTAGTCAACACCTACTTTTCATCTTGCTCCTCTGCATCCTTCTCTGTTACGTCTTGATTCGATGTTTCCAGGGCCAACTTTTTACTGGTTTCTGTCAACTCCTGAAAGGAAACAATTTTGTGTGTGTTTTCAAACTGTTTTTCCCTCCAGGACTGTAGTCGGCAGGATCTCAAGGATGAGAAACAAATGGTACAAATCTGGGAAACCCTGTTCAGCCATACAATCATACAGCAGTTACACTAGGGCAGCCCAAAATTGTTATGAAGTAACCTCCAGTCACATTTCGGTGGGTTTTTTAAAGAAAAGATATGTCCCACTGTTAACTTGATCATGGAAAGCTGTGGTTGTGTAGTGGCGAGAAACTCATCAGCCATCCCAAAGGTCTTGGGTTCGAATCAATGTATTTCCCATGTGGGTTCCTGGGCTCCACTGTGGGGAATACAAGAACAGACTCACTGCTGCCTCCCATTCAAGCATGTCATAGGAGTCAACTAATTGGGGAGGAGGGGGAGTTCCTTTGAAGCTGGAGTGCATCTGCCTGAGAGGCAAGGAACCAACAATCTGCATCAAAATAAGTCAGATCTGTAATACGGATGTGCACCTAACACTCAGGTTCTGGAACAAGATAAAGTCTAGAGATGGATGAACAACCAAAAGTTTCCACTGGAGTTTACAGCTGGTGAACGTAAAGAAGAAGAACAAGAAGAACCAGAAGAACAAGAAGGAGAAGAAGACCTATGTTTTTTTTCCCCTCAAACTTTATCTTGTTTGTCCAGTCGATCGATCCTAAAATGGCTACCAGGTAAATATAACTTTCTTCATTTATGTTCTGCTCGCAATTTATTGGTTTCTGCAACATCACTTTCTTCTCAGGGCCAGTATGCTGGTGTCATCAGATGAAACGGGTTGAAAATAATAGCAATAAAACTTGGGCTGAATCATGATCTAGCAACAGCTTAACTGGTGTCTCTGCACATGTAAAGTGACAGTACCAGTCTTATACACCCTGCTGGGTTCATAGCTGGCAGAAGGCAATGGGGAGTTCTGCAACAGTTTCCATGGAGATGGTGTTTTGGTACCAGGACAGGAGAATGTTCTCTATACAAACTCAATTCTTATAAATGCAAGCGTGACTCAGACAACCTGAATGCAAGGGTGTTGGGCTTTTAAAAAGTTTCCTGGGTAAGTTTTATGGCACTTTTGGGAATGTCTTGATTGTTATGATGTCAGTTCTTAGTTCGTAACTCTAACTATAATAAGCCCCAGCAAATTGAATTTTCATTAACTTCTAGCTTTCATGAATGATCTAGCAACCATTACACTTTTTCTTCTTCTGCCTTTTATCCCTAAATGAAGCATAGGAACCCAACCAGCTCACGCCAAGTTTTCCTATCTTTTGCTATCCCATGCAGCTCACCCCATGTCCTCCCCATCTTTTTAACATCACTCTAACGCACCCTTCTGTATTTTTTGGTGGGGTCTAATCTTTATGCTATCACAACCTAAAATGATTTATAAAATTATCACACACATACCCGCAACATGTTGAACTCATAATATTGATAGCCCTTGAAGCTTTCGGCCACGGCAGACATGGTCCTCGAGGTTTTCTCCCAGTAGTGAAGCAGCATAGTCTGGTAGTTGGCCAGGACATGTGAGAACATGTTGCACCGGCTAGCTGCCAGCAGGTCAACCTTCTGCATCACATCCAGCTTCAGCTTGTCAAAGCGGCTTTTTGTCTTTCGAACCTGGCTCTGAACCTGACAAGGTATGAAGTACATATGGTGAGAGTTGAACCTGGCTCTGAACCTGACAAGAAATAAAGGGCATATGGTGGGAGATGAACCTGGCTCTGAACCTGACAAGATACGAAGGGCATATAGTGAGAGATGAACCTGGCTCTGAACCTGACAAGATACGAAGGGCATATGGTGGGAGATGAACCTGGCTCTGAACCTGACAAGATATAAAGTGCATACAGTGAGAGATGAACCTGGCTCTGAACCTGACAAGATATAAAGTGCATATGGTGAGAGATGAACCTGGCTCTGAACCTGACAAGATATGAAGGGCATATGGTGAGAGATGAACCTGGCTCTGAACCTGACAAGATATAAAGTGCATATGGTGGGAGATGAACCTGGCTCTGAACCTGACAAGATACGAAGGGCATATGGTGAGAGATGAACCTGGCTCTGAACCTGACAAGATACGAAGTGCAAAGGGTGAGAGATTTTCTATAAGTTAAATAAATGCTAAACACAGCGCGTTAGACATGATTAATGAGTAAGTTAAATAAGTCCTACACAGTGCTTGAGACATGGTTAATAAGCTAACAAGGTGAAAAACATTTCCTAGCAGCAGAGATGTCGTTTTTAAAAATAATGCAAAGATTTCCAAGGAGTGATAGAAAAACACAATTAGCAGTCCTCATCTAGACAGATGAAAGTCATAAACTGATTAGAAAAATTATACGTAGACAGCCAGTGTTTTCTGGACATGTTATGAGAAGGAATGGACTCAAGAACTTGGTGACAACTGGCAAGATTGATGGAAAGAGAGCAAAAGGAAGGAAAAGAGACAAATACCTGAATGGCTTGCCACCTGGATGGGGATGCAACAAGAACACTGATGTGATCCATAATATAAATTTTTTTATTCTGATTTCAAAGGGTATAGAAAGTACATGATTACTAGGCTAGTAGGCAAAAAAGCATGCCCAGACATAACGCTGTTGCAGCTCACTATTAATAAATGAAAATGCTAAACATAAATGCATCTTTTTAACCACTATTGCCAAAGGTAACAGGCTGCATTCCATCAATATCAAAACACTTAATAGGACAGAACAAAATGGAGTAATAGACTGTGAGCCAACAGCGATTTAAAAAATTATTTTTGAAAGAAAACAGTTACCTTTCTGAATTTTTCAAGCTGTTTATACATGTCAGGATCAAGTTCTTCTGAGACGTTTTTCATCCACAAGAGAGCTCCTCTATACTCTGTGCGGGCACTTTCCATTCTGTTGATTGTCACCAAGGTGTCGGACACAGCTCTGTACCGGAACGTCTCCACTTCTTGGTAGAGTCTTCGCAGTGGGTTGTGGAGGGGAATTTCTGATGTAAAATGGGTGCAATGAACTAGCTGACATGAGGAACTTTTAAGTGTTCTGTGTAAAGGGCAATGCACGTGGGACATTTTTCTTATCTGAGGATAGAGAAGCTTAATGGACAGGGTTGACTTTACCTACTGAATGCCAGACAATCAGAATAGATCTAGGCTGGCTCGGGAGATGTAAACAAATGACAGACTTTTAAGTTGCTCACGTGAAGGAGGAGCAATGCAACACTGACGAGACTACACAAATCATGTTTGTGAATCTGCAACACTGACGAGACTACACAAACACAGCATCAAAAGGGGTGAAGCCAGACAAGAGCGCTGAAGAGGGGATCTGAGCACTTATGGACTGAATGGTTCGAAGTGCGATGATGATAATCTGGCAACTACCTAACTAACATACAGTCACTCGTTCTACAGAAAGCAGTTCTGACAGTACTGACGTCCTTCAGACATGATAAAGTAAACTGGATGGTTCAATGTGTGATGATGATAATCTGGCAACTACCTAACTAACATACAGTCACTCGTTCTACAGATAGCAGTTCTGACGTCCATCAGACATGATGAAGATAAAATAAACTGGATGGACTCAGCCTGCAGTTATTAAACTTTACTTAAGACAAGATCTGCCAGCGACAGGCAGCTCTCCTTCATCAGACAATCTAGGGTAAGGGTACTTTAAATACAAATCTGGATGATTTTATTTTATGGCCAAAACAAAAACGCTAGCCACAAAGTGGAGATGTCATCTTAACAGGCGCCCTTCTTCTATTATTTGGCCAAACTGCAATGGTTCCTGGTCAGCAGACAACAAACAACCCACCATTTTGTTCAGTTAATGAGAGTGGCTTTTTTTTTATGTACGCAGCATGGAATAAATGTGTGTAAACATTAAATTCATGTTTAACTCTTTGAGTCCCAGGGGGTTTAGCATCACAGGCCCAAGGGGTAGTGAAGGGAGACATAAAATCGGCACATCACACGTTCATTGGGCTTCTAGGTAGGATCCTATGAACGTATGATGCGTTCCTTGGGACTCAAAGAGTTAAAACTAGGAAAGGGTGCTAGTGAGACATTTAACTGATGAGATTAGTTTATGGAGATCAATGTTTATCTGCAGCATAGGTGGTATTCACAATTTAAAACTGGTGTAGAAAAGTTTAAAAATGAAGCCAGGCTGGGACATTTAATCTTTGTCTGTAGAGATCAACTCTTTGTCAAAGTCAAAGAATGTACATGACAGATATTAGGGATGTAATGGGTCTATTCTTGTTTAACTCAGAATGGGTCCAGAAACCATACGGTGACTAAGCTGTGAATTATTTGTGTCATTTCAGATGATCTGCAAACACTGTCCATATCATGTTAACACAGCTCAAGGGTCCTGTCATTCTATATCATGTTAACACAGCTCAAGTGTCCTGTCATTCTATATCATGTTAACACAGCTCAAGGGTCCTGTCATTCTATATCATGTTAACACAGCTCAAGGGTCCTGTCATTCTATATCATGTTAACACAGCTCAAGGGTCCTGTCATTCTATATCATGTTAACACAGCTCAAGGGTCCTGTCATTCTATATCATGTTAACACAGCTCAAGTGTCCTGTCATTCCATATCATGTTAACACAGCTCAAGGGTCCTGTCATTCTATATCATGTTAACACAGCTCAAGGGTCCTGTCATTCTATATCATGTTAACACAGCTCAAGGGTCCTGTCATTCCATATCATGTTAACACAGCTCAAGTGTCCTGTCATTCTATATCATGTTAACACAGCTCAAGGGTCCTGTCATTCCATATCATGTTAACACAGCTCAAGGGTCCTGTCATTCTATATCATGTTAACACAGCTCAAGGGTCCTGTCATTCTATATCATGTTAACACAGCTCAAGTGTCCTGTCATTCTATATCATGTTAACACAGCTCAAGGGTCCTGTCATTCTATATCATGTTAACACAGCTCAAGGGTCCTGTCATTCTATATCATGTTAACACAGCTCAAGGGTCCTGTCATTCTATATCATGTTAACACAGCTCAAGGGTCCTGTCATTCCATATCATGTTAACACAGCTCAAGGGTCCTGTCATTCTATATCATGTTAACACAGCTCAAGTGTCCTGTCATTCTATATCATGTTAACACAGCTCAAGGGTCCTGTCATTCTATATCATGTTAACACAGCTCAAGGGTCCTGTCATTCTATATTATGTTAACACAGTTCAAGGGTCCTGTCATTCAATATCATGTTAACACAGCCTAAGTGTCCTGTCATTCCCTACCCCCTGTTATAGGTTTAAGCGGCCTCTCATTGTGTTTAATTAACTCAATCTTCCTTCTCTTGTTTCTACAGGCATGTATCTCTGTCTTTTTCTCTCCATTCATGACAACAAGAATGTCTGTAATATCCTTGTGTGGGATGCTGGGCCCCATGATGGGGAAACGAGAATAGAACCATGGCCTCTCCAAAAAGCATGTCCTAAGAGTTGACTAACTGAGGGCTTTCTTCAGGTCGGAATGTCTCTGCCTGAGAGACAAAGAACCATCAAGATGCATACAAATAAGTCAGATACGTCAAATGAATGTGCATGCAACAATCATGTTATGAACCAAGACTAAAGTCCTTCAGAAGTGAAGGAAACCGCAGAACTTTCCGTAGCAGTTTACAGTCGGTGAAAGGGAAGGAGAAGAATATTGGTGAACACGAAGTAAAAGAAAATCTGTGTTACGCACCCAACAAACAAACAAAAATACACTTTACATACAGGAAGCAAAAAATCTGCCTCTCCAGAAGCAAGACTTACCTCTCTTGTGCTGAATTACTCTCAGCTTTTCCTACGGCAGCCATCATCTTCCCCGCCCTTGTCTTATCCTTGTTACTGTGTGCTTTCAAAAGTCTCCCCATGGTATTTTCCTCCTGTGACACCACTGGAAAACATCCACAAGTGAAAAAAAACAAAGCTGTAACCTTAAATAACTCGTCCTACAAGAGCTAACAAAACAGAAAGCTCATTTCTTAGTATCGAATGGATCGGTACCTAACCAACATAGGTCCGCATTAGAAACTACTAAAATGGTTAACATAAAATCGACATTCATCATGTTTACATTTCTATTGTATGCTCTGACTGAACCTCAATTTAAAAGAAAAAAAAACAAAGGTTAATATTTCTTTAGTATGTTCTGACTAACGGGAAACTACCACATTGCTATCCCAAGAAACTCATCATGGAAGCCAAAAATGAGCGCACAACGGAATTAAAAGAATTATAGCAGAAGGCATGGTGCCGGGAAGGAGGGGCAGGGGTCCACTGACACGAAGATGGGCACAGGATATAAGTCTCCTTGAGTGTGAAAGTGCATGAGGCGGGAGAACTGGCGAAAGACCGAGTTTCTTTCAGGCAGACTGTGATGAGAGCGACGTTCTGCAAAGGTGATTATGTTCTGACTATAAGTAAGAAAAGAAAAAAGAAATAATGTTTCAATGTCTGCAGTATTCTCTGAGTAAAGATAAGAATTACAACAACAAAAATCATTTAAATTTCTTTGATATGCTTTGACTAAAAATAAGAAGTGAAAAACCCCAGAATGTTTACAATTCTCTAATATGCTCCGACTAAACATAAAAAGCTTTTTTTTTTAAAAAATAACACACGTTTAAATTTTGTTCTTATGCTCTAGCAAAACATAAGAAAAACGTCTGCTATGTTAAACATCAGGAGTAAAAAAACAGCATTTAAATTTCTTCTGTATGCTCAGATTTATTGTAAGAAGTACAACAACAAATGACAGGGTATTTGGTTCAAACACAGAGCAATACAGCACAGATGGTACAGTGTTTTAGACAAAGAGAGTAATGGGGCTCACCGCACAAACGATCCTGATATTTCTCAATAACACGCAGCAGTTCCATGCTTGACCGTTGGATGGCTTTGAAAACCTAAGACAGCAAGCACAAGAAAACACTGAAAACATAACACTTTCATTAAAACATAAATTGAATAATGTTTAAGATTTTAATATTTCGGTTTAGCGTATCCCAATGTATTTTTAGCTCTTTCAGTCCACAGAAAAAAAATAAATGCACAGTACGGTTAGTTGATGAAAAGCCTGTACAACTAAAAACTATCAATGACTCAGATAAAAAGAACTGTCAAACGATTGGCTGAATGCTAAGGTACTCTTATGTGCAATTTAAACCATTTCACTAAATAAATTAAAAAGATTCTGAATGTCCAAATTATGTTCCTTTCAGTAGCTGGGCACTCGCACGTGCATATGCGTACATGCATGAGTAAATGTAGATAGATAGATAGATAGAGAGAGAGAGAGAGAGAGAGAGAGAGAGACAGACAGAGAGAGAGAGAGAGAGAGAGAGAGAGAGAGAGAGAGAGAGAGAGAGAGAGAGAGAGAGAGCGAGAGAGAGAAGAGAGAGAGAGAGAGAGAGAGAGAGAGAGAGAGAGAGAGCGAGAGAGAGAGAGAGAGAGAGACAGAGAGAGAGAGAGAGAGAGAGAGAGAGAGAGAGAGAGAAAGTAGCACATTTAATTTAATTTCTAAGTGTCTTCATTTGCTTTCTGGCAGAACATTGCATTTTCAGACAATAATTTAATCAGTTCATCAATATACATAGCTACATTTGTCTGACTATCAATATTTTTCAAGTACATAGACTACATAATTTTTCCTGGACACACAGTCTTCTACAACATTTATTAACCACAGAGAAAGTTCACATCACTAGCAGAATACAAACACAGACACAAGATGTTTAAATCATACACATGTTTTTCATAAAATGAGGATAGAATTTAAGAGAAAAAAAAAATGAAATTCATGAAATGAGACTGGACTGTTAATTCTGAAAGCACTTTCATGAAATAAGATGAGACTATAATGAAAAAAAATTTGAAAGCACACTTTCATTGGATAAGACTAGAAAGAGTCTAGACCGACAGAACACTTTCATGAAATAGGACCAGAATGAATTAAAACAAATGAAGACACAACTGCAAGTGACATTCTTACTTCTAATTTGGCATCAAGCTGTGAATCGGACGCCACCACATGCTCATCTTCCTTCTTGCCGAGCTTCTTAAAGACTGCCTGTTTTGTGGTCCAGTAGGTCTCCTTCATTTTGTGAAGTGTGGAAGTGTTTGAGTTCTCCACAAACCGGTCATAGTTTGACCCAGAATATCCGTACATCCTGCAATTAAAAGTGGTGACAAAAGTGCATTAAAGGACCTGATAAAATTCAGTTTGGTCCAAGCCAGAACGTCATACTTTATACAATTCTGTGGTCAATCATTATTTTGTTTCATTTATCATCATTGTTAATTTCCACTTGTAGAGTTAAGCATTGTGTGAAGGTATAGCTCGTGGTGCTTAATGGGCAGCAAGACGTATTGTCATTTTGCGTTGATGTAGAAGCTCTATAATGACATCAATCTGTATTAACTCTTGATTTCACATCAGTATCTGTTCATGTCTAGTGTCTGCATTATTAGTTGTTTTGGCTGCATTCTTACTAGATGACCAAACCATTTGATCTTCTGTTTCTCAATGAATCAGCTGCATGGTGTTTAATTTTTTTTGCATATTTAATATAGTCATTTGAAACTCAGTTCATGTCCATGTGGATGTTTGAGGCAATGAATGTTCAGATTATCTGGCAGACAAGGCGGTTACCATGACTAGCCTAGTGTGATGATGATATTGCTATGCAAGATGATTACAACAAGCAGAAATCAGTATCCCTGTCCATGTTGGCGGACAAGGCAGTGCAACCTGGAGCAACCAGACAATATTTTATTAAGAACACAAGACATCTGATTAATCAACACAGAACTAGCGTTATCAGACTTTTTACGCTTGTGGAGCCATTGTGAAAGAGATCAGAGCAGCACAGTGCACAAACTCTGTTGCACCGGGGAGGATCCTGAAATACTTTGGGTAGATTTTTAACTCCAAATTTTGCCAGGACAGCGCCGAAAGCCTACTCTTTTCGATTTCCAGCTGCCAAGGGATTTTTTATGTGTGCAACAATACACACAGGTGTCTGATCTTACTACCCAGAGACCAGTAGAAATTACTAGAAGTCTACATGAAAAAAATCCTAGCCTTCACCGGGGCTTGAACCTGGGACCTCCAGCACTCGAGGCAGTCACCATACCTCGAGACCCTTCAGCCACCCAGTAATAAGAAGAACCAGATAATGAAGACAATGTGTACAAGAAACATTCTTACGACATTGTGTGACCGGGTACAAGTAACCTCAGTATCCGGCTGTAACTGTCACAACGTGTTGTACAAGATAAAATCAACTACTGCTCAGTCTGGCAAGCTGATGCCTTTGATGCCGTCTTCCTGGGTGATAAACAAAGGCTGTTGATTAATATAAAATACTGTTGCCATAATATTTGTGTGTGTGTGTGTGTGTGTATATATATATATATAGATAGATATATATATAGATATAGATATATATTATTTTTTTTTTTTTACACTGAGACAATCTAGATTCTTTGGCCATATCTTGGGAAGAAGAAAACTGGAGTACATCGTAACAGTGGGAAAGTTGGGGGGGGGGGGGGAACTATGGGAGACAGAGAGAGAAAATTGTTGTAGAGTTTTGACACCATGGTATGGAAGATCATGTGCACCATAACTGACAAAGTACACAAGAACAGAAGGCTGTGGATGGACATGGCTACCAACACCACACAGCATGAACTATAAGAAGAAGAATACTTGAACTATAAGAAAAAAGGTACAATGGAGAGGGTAAAGCCACCAGCATGCTACTGATATCATCATCCTATTTGTGTAAAAAATCCCTGAGTGGATTCCAGGCCGCAATTTTTTTTAGGAGCGGGAGAGGGGGGGGGTGTGGGGGGGGGGGGGGGTAGATCCACTGCCTGCTGACAAGCATGTTGTAAAACAGAGGGTAGTCGAAGAATAGGAGAGCAAAGAAGAACCTGGAATGACATCAAGAAATGGAGAGGACTAAGTTATCGTATACTTATTCATCAAGCGGAAGACAGAGAAAGATGGTGGGATTTGTGTGCTAATGATTTCATAGATACACTTCCACAGTTGCCCAACTGCATGTTTGGGGCTGGGATTTGGGTCCCTTCTGAGGATGTGGCTAATGCCCTTTAGGAGTATATGAACAATGCAGGATCTAGGTTCCTTCTGAGGATATGGCCAAAGCCCTTTGGGAGTATATCAACAATGTAAAGGAGCAAATAGATCAGAGGTTTTGAAAGAGGCTGGAGCCCAAAGACAACTTATCACAGACATCAGAAGGAGACAGTCATCATTTTTCGGCCATGTTATGAGAAGAGGGAAAATAGAACATGTAGTGACCACCGGAAAGATGTATGGAAGGAGGGACAGAGGAAAACAACAAGAGAAGATGCTTGACAGTCTTGTTACATGGCATGGAGGTGTGTCGGCACACGAACTGATACATGCTGCAGGAGATCGCAGATTGTGGAGAGGCATGATCGCCAAGGCCAGTCGGCGAGGCACCTGATGATGATGATATAGATCAGCACTATCTGGAGAGAATGATGCAATAGGGATCTGACCAATACTCAAAGTTCAGAGGAAAAGTTAACAAGAGACATGAATGGCTAGATCACATAGTACAAGTTGTAATGTTTTAGGTAGACATGTATTATATGTTTTAGATAGACATGTGTTATATGTTGTAATAAACCTTGGCTTGACTTGGATTGCACTTTGGCTTACTACCTATTGGCTTTCGCCACGGCTCACTCTCTGGATGTTTATTGCTACAAACCTTGCACTACTTTAACGTCTAGGGTTGACAATACAAACGCCGCTCAGCTTCTTTGTACATTCTGTCAGTTTATTCATTCACATATGTCCCACAAGTTTCCACAATAATATATACTTCTCTCGCTCACGACATACTCAATACTGGTCACACGCACGACATTGGAACTGCATCCTCAATTCCTTCAACCGTCTTCTCTGACTTCTCATGATCCACTGACCACGAGTCTAGCTCGGGCTTCCCCTCGCTTCCTCGACTAGACCCAATTATCTCGTGCCGTCACTTGTAGCACGGACTTTCCGCTGGCCCCAATGTACTCGTAGAGACCATGCAAAGCAGGGTCATTATATATGCTTTAGATAGACATGTGTTATATGTTTTAAATTTTTTTTTAAATGCTTGGACACTTGCCAAAGTGGACCTTTACTATAGCCACTACCATTAATACAATGCCTACTAATTACATGGCATTTATTCTTCTAATGTGGGTTCCCGGGCCCATTTTGTAGGGACGGAAAAAAGGGGGTGAGGGGGAGGAGAGAACAGACCTACTTCCCTCTAACAAGCAAATCACAAAAGGTGACAAATCAGGTGTATTTCCACCTGAGAGGTGAAGAACCATCAGTCTGCACAGATCTGTAAAGTGGCTGTGCACATAAAACTAAGTCCTGGAATAAGATCACAGTCCAGAAGTGGATCAACAACAACTTTTGCAAAAAAGGAAAAGACACTGGCTATCTTCCAAATAATGGTCTCAAATTATCGAGGCCGAAAATATACCCTAACAGGGCCTCAGTCACATGTCAATTGCAGACTTCCGGCGACTTAAATTGCGCACTTTTCGGCGACTACCACCACCGCTGAGAGTATCTCACACGCTAAACTAGATGGCTGGGACTCACGAACAGCAGCTACCGTATCTCCTGCAGCTTTCTTCATTTGCTCATGAGTCCCAGCCATCTAGTTTAGCCCCACTCTTGGCGGTGGCGGAAGTCCGCAATTGACACGTGACTCATCTGCTGGAGAGGCGGGGAACGGAAACTGCAAACAAATAAGCCAGTAAAACGGATGTACACGCAAAACTCAGGTCAAGGTAAAAGCCAAAAGTCCAATTTGACGAACAACCGGGACTTACCGCCGGAATTCACAGCCGGTGAACAAGAAGAAGAAGACACGTGACTGAGGCCCTGTTAGGGTATATTTTCGGCCTCGATAATTTGGGACCATTATTCGGAAGATAGCAAAGACATTTATTCAACTGTATCACTGTGTTAAATATTTACAGCATGACGCAAAAAGCAAATAATTACAGGTTTGCTCAATCAGATTTGTTGGGCCAAAAGGAACAGATATCGCAGCCTAGCTGTAAACCCCAACAAAAAGTGCCAACCGCCCTTTTAACGGTGAACTCAGAAGAACTGACATTTATGTAATGCTTGGGTTGGTTACTTGCTAAATTGGTTCTTTCTTTACAATTTTACTTTACAATGTACTGATTACATTAATTACATAATGGCACTGCTTAAGTTGTGTCCTTTAGCACAAATTCACAGATGAGTTATATTTACACACATACTTTGGAAATGGTACTAACTGCTGGGTGTGAAGATTCATTTGATTTTAATTTAATTAAACATAATCCGCAGATTAGTAAGTAAAGTAGTGGTCAATGAGGGACTTTACTTTAGGTGTGTTGCTTCTGTTGGCGAAACACTGCGGTGTGCCAAAACCAGTGTATCTGGGTAAAATATACACAAATAACCAACAGAAAACCAGGCGTTATTTCTATAAAAAGTGTTCTTTTCGCTTACAAATCCAGTAAATTACCTGGAAACTGCAATCTAAAGACGATTTGTGGTGAAAAAGGATGGATGCAATGTCTTGTTTGTCACTGAACGTCAGCCATAGGGATGTTGCCCGGACTTTGCCGAACATTGCCGAGAGCTGGCGACAACTGCAGAAATCAATATCATGCTATCGTACATAACGTAGTTCTATTTTGTTTGTTCTTTGTTTTTGTTTTCCTCATCATTATGTTGTTGCTGTTGTTTTCTGCTTCTGCTGCTACTAACTACAACTGCTGGTGCCACTACTATATATTACTATTGCTAGGCTCCCGAAAAAATATTTTATGGCGAGCTCCAGCAAGGACAGAAAAAGTGCTATAAGGACACTCAAAACTACTCACAATTTTTTTCAACACAGCGACATGGGAGGCTGCTGTACAGGACCGTTCTGGATGGCGTACATCCCTCAGGCATAGTGCATCAACCTGCCAGGCAGCGGAGGTTGCATAGGTAGAGAAACGGAGGCAGACTAGAAAGAACCGTAGTGCTAGTTCCACACTTACTGCAGCTTCCACCTAGACTAATTAGCCACCTTCGTACTCATAATCATTGACCACTACTACTTGATTAACGAACAACATAACAACTATTACTACCAATGCTGCTTCTATCACCACTGATTTCGCTGTTACTCCTACTATGAGGGAAAAGAGGGGGGGGGGGCGCGTGGACTCGAGGCATTGTATCCTAGAGGTTCCGAATTAAATCCCCGGTAAGGCCTGGGATTTTTTCACGTGGACTTCGACTTCTATTAATTCCCCCTAGTAGTGACATCGGACGCCTGTACAAAGTGCCACCATGCGGATGAGAATCACCGGTGGAGAGGTCCCAGAAACCCCTTTCAGCCGTTATGGCCACATTCATGGCACGGCTATATTCACGGCCCCCGGCAGAAGCCAGGGTAGCTTCAAATAGCGAAAAATGCATCTCACATACATTTTACCCCACTAGGACATCATACAAGAGATAAACATCCTATGACACAAAGTGCCACCATGTGGACGAGGATCACCCGTGGAGAGGTCACAGAAACCGCGTTCAGCCATTAGGCCATATTTATGGTAGGGCTATATTGCGGCCCAGGCAAGAGCCAGGGTGGGGCTTCAAAATAACGAAAAATTCCATCCCACAAGGGGATGACTACTAGTAACGCTAACTATCAAAAACTGCTATGATTAGTAGTAGTAGTACATTTTACCCCACTAGGAGGACATCACACAAGCGATAAACACCCGATGACACAAATTGCCAACATGTGGATAAGGATCACCCGTGGAGAGGTCCGAGAAACCGCGTTCAGCCATTAGACCATATTTATGGCAGGGCATTATTGAGGCCTCTGGCAAGAGCCATGGTGGGGCTTAAAAAGTGAAGAAAAGAACCTAGCTTAGGATAAGACATGGGACCAATATAAGTGGAATATATTTACAGTGGAACTCACTGAAAAATAGAAAGAAAAAAAAGCAGAAGAAAAAACCGAGACTGCAAATTCCTAACGTCCTTCTTAGGAAGTAATTTTTTGTTATTTGAAGCCCCACTCTGGCTTTTGCCAGGGGCCGCAATATAGGCAGGCCATCAATATGGCCAATTGTCTGAACGCGGTTTCTGGGACCTCTCCACGGTGATCCTCATCCGCATGGTGGCACTTTGGGTCATCGGGTGTTTATCGCTTGTGTGATGTCCTGGTGGGGTAGAAAGTCAGTCAGTCGGTCATGGTCTAATGGCTGAACGCGGTTTCTGGGACCTCTCCACTGGTGATCCTCATCCACATGGTGGCACTTTGTGTCATCGGGTGTTTATCGCTTGTGTGATATACTGTTGAGGTAAAAGAAGATAGATAGATAGATGAAATCAGCGTTTCAAACTAGTAGGTCTCACATGCCGTGGTGTGCCGCGCTGGTGCTACTGACGCGAAAGTGTGAATCGCAAGAAGATATCTTTGTTTCCACGGAGTTCTAAAATGACGCGCCGATAGTTTCTACAAACACCTAACTCGGTGGTTTAGGTGACGACCCCCACCCCTACAATGATATCTTTCTTTTATCTGCGCGTTGAATGTCGATCCGTTCCATTCGTCTCTTCCTGTTGGACCATTTTCTACATAACATAACGCATTTACTTTTCTGTTTTGTCCACTTTTCTCCCAATCGGTTTTGGCTACATCTGCCTTATCATACATAACAAACAGCTTGTGCATAACCAGCAAGGTCTGCCTGTTTGTTTATGTCTCAGTGTATCACATTCACGTGCCCTGGAGAAATATCCTATCCCCCGCAGCTCACAACTTCACTCTCTAATCCGGGCTATATTACGGCTCCTGGCAAGAGCCAGAGTAGGAGGGCTTCAAATAACGAAAAATTTCATCCTATAAAGGACGGGAAGTGATGGCTGTAGTAGGAAAGAACTAATTTTCACACGAACATTTTATTTCATACATTGAAATCATGGAAAAGAATACAGGCAAACATCACTGCATCTGTGGAATTTCGGAATAGTACGAACAATATTAAACAAACATATAATTGTATATTTCATTGGCTAAACAAAAAAAAGATAGCACAAGAGATAAGATGGTGGGCATGGGCAGACAAAAATAAAATAAGAAAACTGCAAGTCAGCAAGGTATAAGAGATGCTGGAGGTACCCGCCAATTTCACAAGCGTAATCAAGGGAGCTAATAAGTTTGTGTCTTGTGTACTTAAGTTTATCTTTCCCTGAACGCTCACCGAAATAGGCTAGGACTACACTCGTTATTACTGCACCCGTATTTTAGTCCGTCTGTGTTTGCGAGTGAGTAATGTTAACCACTTTTTCTGACAACAGTTCACAGTGGGTCAGTTTCTTTCTCTAGCGTTGAACTATGTTAGCGTCGTTTCATTGATATACACCATGTTAATGCTGGTTATTCATAGGTAACTTATAGTTGCCAACAGTGTTTCTACCCGTTTTAAATCTTGCTAGTTTGTTGTGCAAGCGGTAGCTACACGCACTTCTTGCCAGTGCCTGGATCTATCGTCTGGATTTTTACTTGGATGTCTGGCGGCTTGCCGATCATTTCAGATTCGACAAAAAGAACGATAACAGGCAATCTGGAATATATGTATGCGTTTTGTAAAGACGAGCGCGCGTATGTGGTATGTGCAGACATCTGTGTATCCGACGTGAAGGTTAAATTCGCTGTTACCGTGTGTTGAAAAAAGCTGTTATATTTTAATGTAGCCGAACTGTGAAGTGGTAAATTATGATGTTCGTCAACATCCATTTGTTAAACTGTGTACAGATATGAGGTGTTCAACGTTAGTAAAATATTATGTTCATTAACATCCAATATTAAACTATGTACAGATATGATGTGTTCAACATTAGTAAAATAATATGCTCGTTAACATCCAATGTTAAACTGTACAGATCTGGTGTGCTCAACGTTATTTTATTTATTTATTTTAACCGGCACACGGCCACAGATGATACCAGGCTAGTGTAGCCGTTAAGGGTGCCGTAATTATAACTTGTTTAGAGATTGAACGAGTTATTTGGGTTGTTCCCTGTTGGTCTGCCACACAGGACATGATAAAGTTTTAGGAGTATTCCATCCTACTGGTAGCAACCCAAACAGGGGCCACAGACAAATAAGTTCGTTCGTGGCTTACTTCAACATTTCAGCCATCGTTCTTTAACTTACAGCCATACACGTGTGATTAGGGGGACTCTCGAAGATTACATTTATCTGTTAAAAGTGTGCTTATTTCGTATGCAAATGGTTAGCAGTCAAAATGGGCCCCTACTGGCACTAGTTTTGAGTTTGTTGACCAAGGAATGTCCAAAATCCAGAAGGTAGCAATTACCAAACCAGACTTTATTGCAACCGGTCTGAGTGTATCGTGCCGAATCATGACCTAGTTATTTTCTAATTTATCTGTCTGAAGATGTGAAATTCTGGTGCAGATCTTGTTGGTTTCAGAATTTGGAAAGCGAGAAGCTCTGCATCCCAAACATAGTTTGTAATATGATACTTTGGGTGCGCATTTCTAACATCAAAATAAGCCGGATAGATGTATGCCCTTTTTAGAAAATTAACGAGCTAAACATCACCACGCTGGAGTTAAAACTCAGTCCCCCCCCCCCTTTTTTTTTCCCCCACCCGAGAGTTAACAATGATTTATTTTAAAATTAATCTCTTAATTCCTCTCCTAGAACTTTTTTTTGTTTCTTTTTTCCTCCTATTTCTTAATGAACTACAGACCTCCCAAGCAACGCAGGCCAAACATTCCTATTCTTGGCTCTCTTCTTCTTCTTCTTCGCGTTCACCAGCTGTACACTCTGGCGTAAAGTTCTGGTTGTTCGTCCACTTTTGGACTGCAGTCCTGCTCCAGAACCTGAGTTTTGCGTGTGCATCAGTTTTACAGGTCTGAATCAATTGAATGTAGACTGCTGGTTCCATGCCTCTCAGGCAGATGCACTCCGACTTCAATGGAAGCTCCCCAGGTAGTCGACTCTTACGACATGCTTTTGGGGAGGCAGTGGGTCTATTCTTGTTTTCCCCACAATAGGGCCCCGGAACCCACACGAGGGTTGGCTATCTCTAAAGCTTCTTCTATTTCCTACACGTTTTATTCATATGTTTCTTAAACGCTTGGTTGGGTTTTGTAGCTAACATGTTGTGCTAAATAGATAGATAGCCAGTCTCACGACAACTTTTTTTGAAACTATTACGATAGCCATTGAAGAGGAAAAAACTGCCTTTACTTCCGATAAGTCCCACTTTTGCGATGTAATTAAAATGGAAGAGGGGGGAGGGGGGGGGGGAGTCCTTTGCGCCTGAGGATTTAGGGCCACATAGTTAGTACTGTCAGTGCAGACTGTGCCAGTTAGGATTTTAATTATGCCCCCCAGAGAAAAAAATCCGCTGGTTTTCCGGATGAGAGTGCAAGGTTCTAAACTCTAAACCGCTGGGTCAATAGCTTCTCCATTATAGTTTAACTATTCTTTGCTTCCATTATGGTGGTCCGGTGCCACAGGTAACTTGTAAGTTTTGACTTGTACCAATGATTCATTCTAATGTTTACAAATTCTAGTATATAGATGAGATCAAGGAAGCAGAACATGATGAAATCCTAAATAGGTTATTTTAACTTCTAAACATTTGACTTGACAATACTGGCCAACATGGCTGACGAGCCTACATCTGGGCAGCAAAAACAATTCACAGGATCTATGTTTGGCAACTGGTTTACTGTTTTACTTGTGCTCATTTGTGTGTTCGCCAACCCGTGCTTCTCTCTCCGTTTCCTGGGCGACAGAGAGACGTTTGCTAAATTCCCTAAGTGGGATGCTTGTATCAACGCTTCCATAGCTTTTGAATTCAGAACCAGACAGAACGACGGCTTGCTTATGTACACAGACGACAACGGCAAATACGACTACCTCCAGGTGAGTTGCCGATTTGCCTTTTTTACAAGTCTAATGCCTTATCCGGTGTTACTTTTGGCCCAATAAATCTCCATTATCAGTGTGCCTTGCCTACTCTATATAAGAAGAAACTCCACAGGGGAGCATATACAGCAGGGGTCTACCAATCGTCAGTAGAAGTAATCTCTCGTCGACAAATGTTTCGGCCCACGAGCTCCTAGACATTTTCAGAGAGTGGGCCCACCTGAGTTCATGAGGCTCAGGGTTGGTTTCTCCTGCTGCACGTATTACCAGATGTGATTCGGACAGGGACAAGACGAATTGATGATTTGCAAAAGTTTATGTGAGATAAGAAGTCGTTGCGGTAGCATAATTAAAGCAGTCTGCATACCTGAACGACCAGGTGGCAAGCTTACGTTGGTTAACCGGACATATGTTGGCAGGTGGCAGAGGGACATTGGCAGACAAATCGGACGAATTAATATATATAATTAGGTGAAGTAAAGAACCCTTATTCAAGTCTTCAGTGTATATAAGTGATTCCCAAACTATGCGCCGCGGCGCCCCGATGAGCCGCGACCTCATTTTAAAAAATCTTTTTTTTATACGAAAAGTCATACCTTTATTTAGGTTAGGGCGCCGTGGAAAAATTTTAATTTAGAAAAAGGCGCCGTGACTAAGAAAAGTTTAGGAAACACTGGTGTAAATAATACTACACCTATATTTTATAGACTTATCGTCACTCAGTAGGTTATATGGTCAACATCATACAGGCCGCCTTTATTTCCCAGGACATTACCAGGCACCAATTTAAAACTGGGTCGGCATAAGAGCCCATGTTTTTTTAGTCTGCTTAAATTTGAACTGACGACCTTCGGCGAGCGTTTAACCTTACACCCATCAGCTTCCCGATTCTATACTATTATCACTTTTATCCTCTATAAAGAACTAGCAGTACCCGTCTCTTTACAGTTGGTGTTTGTAGATCTGTCTGAATATAATCTCTCCGTTGTCAGCTTGGTTTGCCTCATAGTCTACAGTCATTCAGCTCCCTTTTATCACAAAATATTAAATATTTAATATAGAAGTATTTTTGATATGCTAGCCTTTTAGAACACCCTGACAATTGTTAATAGGCCGATTTTCTGGATCTTTCCATGAGAGAAAACAAAAATAAAATAGACATGACATGATAATTGCAAGAGAAAAGCAAAGATAAATATCTAGATAACCATATCAGTACTGCATCAACAAAAAATAAAAAAAAAAATTTAAAAACAGGCCTAACTTTGAATGTGTGATGGCGGGAATGGAAAATAATGACTGCCCTCTAATATCGGTGACATGTTGATGATGATTATGAGATAAACTCTTTTTGTGAGCTGCGTACTCTAAAAGTCGACTCTATGGTTTAGGTGTGAAAAACACGCGTCGTAATTCCACAATACCAGTTTTGATTCCACCTGTAGGCGAATGACAGCAGACGGCGTTTAGTTAATCTGTACAGTGGTATGGAGCGTCAACCATTGAGCGAGCAGTGGCCATTTGTTTTTCCTTTAGGATCCTTTTCCGCGCTTTTAGGCGTGTGACGCATATAGGGCTAGACCGATATTTTAAAGAACAATTGTACTTGGTTGGTGATGTGGCCAGCATCAAACTGGCTGCATTTACTTCGCTGGACTGCACTTTGTACCCACTCAAGGTTGGGTCGACCTGGGAGCCAAGGTCATAAATGACAAACTGGTTAGGTTCCGTATCCTTTACAGGACGTTGCAGAATTAACCCTAACAGCCCCTGGCTGTTGTATGGTTTTTATAGGCAAATTTACGTCCAGTAGTTTGCCATTGCTTACAGGACGGCCGGCTCTCTTGATACCACTGTCGAAACGAACGCAAGGCGCATGGCCAGCAGCTGGGATCGAAACAGGCATCCCGGCATTACGAAGCGACTTAGAAATTACAAACTACTAAACGTAAAACTGTACTTAACTTCCATCACTTGGATGACACCTGGCCATGTCCGCAAAAAAAGATAACGAAGAAGCGGACCAGTTGGCAAGCAATGCACCAAAGCATGTGGGAAGAGGAGGCGTAGACCCCGCATATATCAGCAACCTTGTACGGACTAGGAAAGGGAATACTGACGAATCTCCGTCACTAAAACGACTGCGTGACTGAAAGTAAAGCATGGTGAAGGACTTCTATGCCGCATTCAAGGCCAAGTTATAAAGTAGGAGAAATAAAACAATCAGTTTAGGTACTTTAGAGTGACTGCTACACCTGGGGACTTAATTCCTCATAGAAACAATCAGTTTAGGTACTTTGGAGTGACTGCTACATCTGGGGAGTTAACTCCTTATGGAAACAACCAGTTTAGATACGTTGGAGTGACTGCTACATCTGAGGACTTAACTCCTCATAGAAACAACCAGTTTAGATACGTTGGAGTGACTGCTACATCTGGGGACTTAACTCCTCATAGAAACAATCAGTTTAGGTACTTTGGAGTGACTGCTACATCTGGGGACTTAATTCCTCATAGAAACAATCAGTTTAGGTACTTTGGAGTGACTGCTACATCTGGGGACTTAATTCCTCATAGAAACAATCAGTTTAGGTACTTTAGAGTGACTGCTACACCTGGGGACTTAATTACTCACGGAAACAATCAGTTTAGGTACTTTGGAGTGACTGCTACATCTGGGGACTTAACTCCTCATGGAAAGAATGAGTTTAGGTACGTTGGAGTGACTGCGACACTTGGGGACTTAATTCCTCATGGAAACAATCAGTATAGATACGTTGAGGTGACTGCGACATCTGGGGACTTAACTCCTCATGGAAACAAAACAATCAGTATAGATACGTTGGAGTGACTGCGACATCTGGGGACTTAACTCCTCATGGAAACAATCAGTTTAGATACTTTAGAGTGACTGCGACATCTGGGGACTTAATTACTCACGGAAACAATCAGTATAGATACGTTGGAGTGACTGCTACATCTGGGGACTTAACTCCTTATGGAAACAATCAGTATAGGTACTTTGGAGTGACTGCGACATCTGGGGACTTAACTCCTCATGGAAACAACCAGTTCAGGTACTTTGGAGTGACTGCGACATCTGGGGACTTAATTCCTCATGGAAACAAAGCAATCAGTATAGAAACGTTGGAGGGACTGCTACATCTGTGGACTTAACTCCTTATGTAAACAATCAGTCTAGGTACTTTGGAGTGACTGCGACATCTGGGTACTTAACTCCTTATGTAAACAATCAGTATAGGTACTCTGGAGTGACTGCGACATCTAGGGACTTAACTCCTTATGTAAACAATCAGTATAGATGCGTTGGAGTGACTGTGACATTTGGGGACTTAATTCCTCATAGAAACAATCAGTATAGATACGTTAGAGTGACTGCGACACCTGGGGACTTAACTCTTCACGGAAACAATCAGTATAGATACGTTAGAGTGACTGCGACACCTGGGGACTTAACTCTTCACGGAAACAATCAGTATAGATACGTTAGAGTGACTGCGACACCTGGGGACTTAACTCTTCACGGAAACAATCAGTATAGATACGTTGGAGTGACTGCGACACCTGGGGACTTACCTGTAATTACTGACTGTATTTAGCACTTTTCGCAGGGGTGGGGAGAGGGATAGGTGGGAGGGAGTCTCTAAGCCTGAAGATTGATGGCCGCTTGACTAGCATTTGACTGTAGAGCCTGACCTATAACAACTTTGAATCGCCAACTAGAAAAATAAGGCAGCTTACCGAGATGAATGAAGGTATGTGATGTATGTAAGGGCTCGAAATACTGAAGAAAAAGAAGATGCCAATAAAGGCTCCGACCACATCTTCAGCAGCCAGCACATAGTTTCAATACAACGATGCCAGATGCACTCTGATTGTATATTTGTCTTGCTTCTGAACGTTGAGTGACCACCATATCCTCCGGTCACTCGTTTGGCGCCGTTCTGTCCAAGCCGTGGTGATTTATTCTCTCTTCCGCGTTGTCCATTTACTCCTTCTAAAAATACCCTGACCAAATTTCCCAGTATCCATTGTCGGCTGGATCCACTGGGTAGCAGTGCTGTGAAATAAAATGTTCACTCCAAGGAAACCGGAACACGTGACCAAAATATATAGAAGGACAAGGTACTAACCCTTGTATATCGGCGAACGGGTCGCCTACTGATGGGCCGATAGACGACTTCGTCACCAGTCGAGACAGTTTTTGGGTCTGTCTCCTTTGATCGCATCTTCACCTCAGGAGTCCTTTTCATGGCTCTTGGAGGCGTGCAGCGCTATGCCATTTTATATGACGCGCACAACCTAGCCACAATTATAATCTAAATCTACCCCTTCGGAAATGCTGGTTGAATGTGAAGGTGTGTGTGTGTGTGTGTGTTATATCGTGCATGCGTGCGTGGGTGGGTGGATGTGTGTGTGTGAGAGCAAAGCAAGAAACCAATCCCTGCTTTACCGCGGCTCCGATGCGAAATCAGAAAAGAACGCATTCAGAGTTTGGCAGCCAAACAGGCAGGTGTATGCAGGTAGCCTGCCACAGTAACGTAGGAAGACATAAATACGGGCAATTAAAATGATAAAAAGTGACAAAAGGAAAAACGACTAACGGAGAAAAGGGAAAACACACACACGCACACACACACACACACACACACACACACACACACACACACACACACTCGCAACCACAAACATACTCGCACACGCACGCACACACATACACACACACACACACACACAGATAGAGAGAGAGAGAGAGAGAGAGAGAGAGAGAGAGAGAGAGAGAGAGAGAGAGAGAGAGAGAGAGAGAGATCCGCTAACCGAAAACGCAAAAGCCTGAGGGGAACCTGGATTAAAAGGTGTTTACAGGCGATTACAGTCACAGAAACAAAAACAGTGTGTCTAAAGGTTGTTGCCATCAGACGAGGATGAAAATTGCAAACACACACAAGAAAATAATTAAATGCAAGGGAAGGAAA